AAAAAAAAAAAAAAAAAAAGAATGATGTAAACAACAACGATTATGACTGCTATCCTTGCATAATACTCAATAGGTTCAGATGAATTTGAGGTCTTGTGCCACACCAAACCTTTTTGACCTTGAACACAAACATGATGGAAGCACAGCAAACTCTAATATCTACTTGTTATTATGCATTTAAAAATTAACTACATCAACAACGACCGTCTCGTCTGCCTATAAGTCCGACATTCTTAGCTGCCAAATCAAACACGCACTGCCGAAAGGTTAGTTTGGTCAAATTCCAATGCCACCGGTTCCTCCTGTAGCATCAAAATACGAGGATCCTGCATTATTACTAGTGCCGCCAATCCCTTCCATGAGAGCAAATCTCATGTCCTCTGAGGGTCTCCAGTGTCGTTTTCTCTGGTTGATGAACCAGTTGTTTATCTGCTTCTGCCCTAATCCCGTTATTTCCGACAACCTGCTCTTCTCCTCTTCCTACATATGTTAATGCACACACAAAAAAAAATCATATTACACAAACCATTACTGTAGTTATTCAAACCATTTTTTTATCAGAACAATGCGAAACCGGGATTTCATTACCTAGACATAAACAAAAGAGAATAAAAGGAAAGGAAAAAAGAGTTACCGTGGGGTACGGCCACCTATAATGCGTGTTCCACCAGTCGAGCAATGTAACAATTGCGTCCTTGGGCAGTTTACCCTTTTTTCTCTTTTTGAGGAACTCCTTCCTCAGGCTGCTCAGGTAGCCGCTGTATTTGCGCATTAGCATCTGTTTTAGCTCGCCATCGCCTTCAGGATTTTTGTTAGATTCTCGACTTCCGTTTGCATCCATTTCTCCATAGCTGAAGTCGTCGTCTGATGGACCACAACCATCTAATATATATCATACTCAAAAGGTCAATATTAGAGTGTTTTAAATATATGTATATTTATTGAAAAATATTATTAGTCTCTCCTTGTTAGGCCTGCCTAAGATCGTTCCATTTGTAACCACAAACATGAGTATGTGCAACTATATAACGCATTTATGGGGTGCATATGCATTGCATTGTCTTTTATCGTTAAGAAGAAAAAGTAACTAAGTGTGGTAATAGTAATTTTTTATTTTAATTTTAAAGTTATAAAAAAAAATATGCATTTTAATTCATATCCAATGACAACTTTGTTTCAATCAACTTTACGTCAAATGATTTGACGTTTCAAAGCTTATAACAATTTTTTTTTTTTAACGTTGTACCAAAAAAACAAAAAAAAAAAGTTTAACGATTTAAAAAATATACATGTATGGTTATAAAGTAAGAATATGGATTGATCTAGTTTTTTATTAGTTCTTTTTTAACTGATTAATTTTAGAAAAGAAGATACAGTCAATTGTATATTAAAATAATATTTAAAATAAAATAATTAAAATTTATTTGATGCAAAAGCACGAGAAAAAATATTGAAATTAATGATTAATTAAAATTATGTGAATAGATAAATAATAAATTCCAATTAATATGATGTGTAAGAATAATTGGTTGATATTATTTAATTATATTGATAATATATGTGGTTGAATTAAAATTGAATTAAATTTAAGTTTTGATTGATTTTTTAAATTGTAGAGTTTATATCACACCCAAAACATAAAAAAGAACATTACACCCTAAAGTTTGAAAAAAAAAAAAAAATTGAAAAACCTGAAAATATTTATTAAAGTCCTAAAATGTATAAAACTAAGTTAATAAGTAAACTCATGAGCAATTGAGCAAACATTAAGATTTTATGACTTATATTAAATGTAAATTTATTTGAAAAATCAGAGAGGAAAGCTGAAATGAAGGGTGTGTACCAGCTGGCCAAGGATGGGAAGAATAGGCTGTTGATGGTAGGGTTTGTTTGCAGAGGTCTGTGAGCTGAGATTGAATTTTGCTTAAGAAATTTGTGGCCTCATCAAATGGCTTTGAAACCTCCTCCTTGTATTTCTTTAGTGCCTCACAATATGATTCCTTCAACAATTATTGTAAAATTTGAGTCCAACACTAAATTAATTAATTAGTTACTATATAAAAAAATGTTCATACAAATTAAATGATGCATGGTAATAATATTACACACTACATATATACTTGTTATATTTTATACTTTAGTGTATTTTTACAAGCAAAATATTTATAAAATAAATTTTTCTTATGTAATAACTCAATTATTTAATTGTCATAATCAGAGAAAATATTTTTTTTATCATAATAAAAATTACAATCAAGATCGGAAAAATTATGTATTTTTTTTTTCTTGAATATTTATTCATAATTGGTATCAAATTTAATTTAGGTCTAAAAAATGAGTTCATGGCTAATATATATACAATTTTAATCGAAAAATGGAGTTGATTGCAATTTTGAAAATTATTTTTGCGCAAATATGCGTCTGAAATAGGAGAGAGAAACAAAATCAATAGGAGAGAGAAACAAAATCCTGCATTTTGCGTCCGTCATATATACAATTTAAATTGAAAAATGGAGTTGATTGCAATTTTGAAAATTATTTTTGCGCAAGTATGCGTCTAAAATAGGAGAGAGAAACAAAATCCTGCATTTCGCGTCCGTCATTGCCGTTAGGTTGGTGCTATTTTGCCCCAAAATTTTTGAAATTTCGGTGACGGTCTAATAGTTAGCTATGGGAAGGAAAATAAGATTACTAAACCAAAGAATGGTAAGACATTATTGCAACTTTGAGGAGGACATCACATGGACTTTACAAGCACAAATTCTATTTATTTTTACCATGAAACGATCAAGTTCAGGATCTGCTCCGATGTGGGAACAAGTGGACATGGGAAGACTTTCATGGTTGATTTCTTCAAGAACCGAAGCCATCTCTGGTGGTGCCCCAACCTTTCAAATATATTATTACAAATTACTACTCTCCACACACACACACACACACACACACACACACGCACAATATATATACAATAGAGAGAGAGAGAATCAGAGAGAGAGAGAGAGAGACTAGGTAGAGAAGATTGATGAATAATAAACAAGTGTGGGCCTGTAACTGTGTTAGGAAGATAATATATATGAAACAGGGTTTTCATTTTCTTTTTAATATATATATGAAGAAAAAAAATGAGGAAGAGCAAACAGACCTTTCGACATTGAATGTAGGCAGAGAGTAAGGTGGGATATAAAGGGTGACTAGCAATCTGGGCCTTGATTACATCTGACATCAAACCGGCCTCATGTTTTTCATCATCATCATCTGTTACAAGCAGCAGTTGACGATGCTGTTGTTGTTGTTGTTGTCGTCGTCGTCCTCCGCCATTATTATTAATGTCTTCACTGTTCCCATCTCCAAGCAACTCACTGTTGACAACAAAGCTAGGGTTCCAATTTATGCCCTCACTCCCAAACTGGAACCTGTATAGTTCATCCATATTCTCTCCCTCTCCCTCTCTCTCTCTCTCTCTCTCTCTAGATAATTATTTATTTATTTATTATTTTTAATTATTTCTCCATTTGATGTCTGCAAACAGTATGGATCATGTGTGTGTGTGTGTGTGTGTAGATAAGAAGAGGAGGAGCATGAGATGAGGTGAGGGTGAGGTCCAGCTAATTATTTCCATGACTCATACTATACAGTGTTTTGTAGGTATTCATTGTTCACTGCCTCTAATCAGCTAGCTAGCACATATATGGATACATGTACAAAAATTATTCTAAGTTATGGGGTCAATCCCATGAAAAGAAAGCAAAGGAAACAACAGTAGGCCAATTGAATTTTAGTGCAAGAATTATAGAAAGAGATATCACAAACACCTGAAAAAAGGGAGAGATATTTCCAATCTGAGAAAAGATTTAAAACAAAGTGGGGGAGGCCCCTTTCACTTTCTGTTCCCAAACACAGAGGCTCACTCACAAAGACTTTAAATAATACAGTGAGAAAAACAAAAGACACACACACACACATGATGGAAAAAAGAGATAACAAGGGCGTTTAAGAAAGGGAAAGGGCTTTGTCGCATGCTATAGAGTAGTTTACTATGAGTATGGATGATGAGTTATGTGTTTGTGTGTGGGAAAAAATTCAAAACTAGTCCCACAAGTATAGGGGGTGACATTTTGGTCTCCACGGAATCCATAAAATATTAATAGTCCCGCAGTTTTTAAAAAATGATCAAAATAAGTAGGACTTTTTCAATTTTCCGGCCCGGAATGTCACGTCGTACACACATGACCACATTCATCTGACGTGGCTGACAACAATTCCAAGGGAAAAAATTAAAACTAGTCCCGTAGGTTTTTGGAGGTGACATTTTTTGTCCCAGCGGAATCTGAAAAATACAAAATAGTCCTGCCACGTGTGTGCGACGTGGCTTTCCGGGCCGGAAAATTGAAAAAAGTCATATTTTTTATCATTTTTTAAAAGTTGCGGGACTATTAATATTTTTTGGATTTTGTTGGGATTAAAAATGTCACCCCTCTATGCCTGTGGGACTAGTTTTGAAATTTTTCCTGTGTGTGTGTAATCATTCTTCCGAGTTCGGACTGGGTCGGGTCTGCGTGCATGCCCGGCGGGTACATCCCCGTTGACCAGAAACCAGAGCCGGTCCTGCAAATTATTAAGCCCTGTGCCAAGTACAAAAATAATGCCCCCAAATATTTTTTTCCTTTTTTTAAAATAAAAAAAAAATTAAATAATACCAACAACTCCAACATTTTAACTAATATATAGAGAATTGTTTTCTGAAAATCATTATAAGTTTTAAATAATCAAAATTATAACAAGTTAATCACAACTTATCTCAACTTTATTCTCCAATAAAAAATAAAACAACTTAAGAAAATCACCACACTGTACTTAAGAATTACCACACAGACAATTAACATCATAACTTGAGCAGAATTACCAGACACTCTTACAACATAAAATTACAAGCAAACAATAAAATCACTAAAATTACAAGCAAACAAATAAAAGACTTATCGCGTGCTAAGTTTTAAAATCTAAAGAAATGGTGGAGGAGTGTTTAGTATAGAATTGATGGGCAAGGGATAACCGAGCTACCCGACTTGGGTCGATCTCGAAGAAAGGCCATTCGGAGCTTTATCTACTAAATGATCGTCCAAATCACAAAAAGGGAAAATAAAAT